TCTATTCAGGTTAAATATTCGCCTTTTCTTTTCCCACAATATCTTATTCTCATCGTGATGAGTGTTTTAGAAACTAAACAAGACTGCAAAATGCTCCAGATGTTCAACGATAATAAATGAAGCTGAGGAACAATCAGAGTATTGTCAATTTTGATAGAAGAATTTGCATTTCACTTTTATTATATATATTATATATATATATAATTTCAGACTTTCCATGAACACATATGTGATGAATGTGGGCGTGAGAACATATAGATGTGTATGTAAGGAGGTCCTCAATAAAAATCAGAGATTGTGTCATGTGATGCATGCAGGACGGAAGCTTGTGGGGGGAAGTGACTTTGGAGGAATGAAAGAGACGCAGGAGATGCTTGACTTTTGTGGAAGGCATAACATCAGAGCAGATATTGAGCTGATTAGGCTGGACCAAATCAACACTGCCATGGAGAGGCTGGCCAAGTCTGATGTGAAGTATCGCTTCGTGATCGACGTGGCTAACTCCCTAAAAGGGCGGCTAGAATAATGCTAATTCCAGCTTCATAATTGGAGGCCTTGATGTCAGAGTATTTTAGGTCTGAGATGTGAACTTATGCAGAAGAGGACCGAATAATTAATTTTCAGAAACTGTTATTGTACCTTTTATTGCTTTGGTCATCGGAGGGAGCACATATGGAATATGGTTGTGTTCCGTTACATTTTGTTGTCTACCGCCGTGTGACCCTCATCTCGTCCGTATCGTATCGGTGAGGCCCCAGTTAAAATGTTGTGGGCCCCAGATACAGTGATCGATGGGCTTTTCTGAGAAACTACTAATTGCTAAACTTGGGCTCATTAGACGTCGTGGGTTGAAGTTTAAGAAATAAGACTCAATGATACGTGACGGACCGAAAAAGAAAAAGAAAGGAAAAACAAAGTCTTAGGACTAACACAAGAACCAGGGAGTTGCATTCGCCTTTACGCCCTCCTTCTCGGATTCCAGCAATCAGCATTTTTGATGGCGCTCCGTCATTGTTGGTGAGTGTTTAAGAACACGCGATGTGTTGAGAACTCGAGACTGACAAGGAATAATTTAGGGTTTTTAAATTTATATTTGACTATTTGGTTATTCTAAATAATTAAGAATTTCAAGATGCTGCGAGAGAATGGCTTAGAAATTAGTGGGGCCCGTGGGCAGGAACGAGTAGTAATCCAGCCCGAAAATCAAACTAAAAAAGAGAGGTTAACGCGATAAATACACAGTGAAGGTTATGTTTTTATTGAGAAGGCATGCCAAAAGCAGGATGCGATGGGCAAAGTGAAGTTGACGTAAGAAACTAAAAAACAGAATGGTGATGGGATGAAGGAATAGCAGTCAGGGGATGGCAGGGGCGAGCGCCGGAGTGAAAGCAGGAGCGGCATCACAATAACCTCGTAAGATGTAGGCCTCGTGGTCGGTGAAGCCGAGGGAGGCGAGAACAGCAGGCCAGCAGTTATGGGTTATGACGGTTATGGCCCGACAACAATGCGGCCCAATATCTGCCTCCCCCTTCACCAAATACTGCATTATCTCATTCGTGCACGATCTCAGCTCCATCAGCGACCCCCAGCAGTCCACCTCCGCCCTCGGCTCCCTCGCTGCTCCTCCACACACCGTCAGAAGATAAGTCAGAGCTATCAACAATAGCACGTGCTTCCCAGCCATCTGCACTACTCGCATCGCACGATCCCCTCTCTTCCCTCTTCAAGCCTCCCCCTCCGACTTATATAGCTTTTCAATAACGCTCTTCAATTCCTAATCATGACAGTTACGCACGAATCTGTTATCTTCATTAATCCCTGAGAATTGAAGCTGCAATCAAATCCCTGGACGGTTACAGTCTTGCAGGCGGACAGCCCCTGGCCCCCTCGCATTCGCTGAATCATAAATGGGCTAGCTTGGGCCCATGGGCTTTGCATCCCATGTCCAACCGCCCGGTGCCCATCAGAACTAACCCCGCCTTCATTCAGTCATCGTTGGGCTTAACTGCTTCCCTTGTCCCTTCTTGTTAACTACCGGGAAATATATGATCCCTATTTTTCAGTTTAAAAGCCACTCGCTTGGATTCAACTCCACGCCAATGCATCCGATGTGCAAGGAAACTTGCAGCAGGCGTTTAATTTTACAGCTACTTTTACTGTCCGTCCTCGTGCTGGATCCACTTGTGAAAGTGCTGTTACTGGAACACCATGGCCGGGCTATTCATCCGTCTAGTTCTTCGTTTTTGCGCTTTCTAGTCTTCCCAATAGCATTATCCAGTCATCAGAGATGCTGTTTAGTTTGGCGGTTTTCCTAAAGTTGCTCTGTGCTCAATTCGCTCTTTCGTGAATATGATAATCTGATTTGTCACGTTTTATTGGACAAGGCAGCAATCGAGCCACTTTCCCATGCTGTGATGACACGCCTTTGCTTTGTCAAAATCCTCAATTACCCAACGTTTAAAATTTGAAAGAACAGACTGACCATTGGTGGAAAATCCCGTGCAAACAGAAATTGATGAACTCAATTAGCCAGACGTGTCTCCCGAGCCCATATTGGACGACGACGGCAAATTTTATATAGAAACCAGCCAATGAGAATCCAACATAATATGAATAACGAACTCGTTGCTCCTTATGGTTTACAATGTGTTTCGTGTCTTGAGATGATTTTATGAAACGATCGCTCTTTGTCGGCCAAGAAGATCCATCCAATCCAAATTCAGTTAAGAAATTGTGGAATATAATATGAAAGGTCTTTTTATGCATAAATGTGTATTTAATTATACTTTTTGGGCTGCTTTAAGTCGTCAAAATAGTAGTGCTATGAATGTACGTGGTGATTATGATAACCTAAGTGCGGGAGCCTCCCTTTTTGTCCCAAAAGATGGACTTCCTTTGTACAGATGGGTTCCAATTATAAACACGATAACATCAATATCAGTGGTGGTTGCTGTCATTATCATCGTCATGATTGTATCCTGTGAATATTATAAAGTCATTACTTATAATCTTGGTGAGCAATTTATAATCTTTTTTGCTGTGAAATCAAAATATTTGGATGCGAATAATTTCGAAGTTGTTGAAGTGTAAGTTGGTTTAATAATTTTATTGCCAGCTACCTGTTGTCGGTATGTCGTATGAGTATGTGGTACCTGCTACTCCCCGCGCATAATTTTGCGTAGCTCTGAAGCAGATGGCTCATCACGGATGATCCCCTTTGGCATCAACGTATGTGTTTTTTCGGCCTGATATTTCAATTTTTTTTGTGTGCAAGCCTGATATTTCAATTCAATATGCGTATAATGAAACATGGAGGGAAAAAAAGAATTTTGGGGGCCTCGGGGTATAATAAGCAAGAGGGCCTGCCCTGACATTATTGTGGGGCATAGGCAATGTATTAAGAGAGAGAGAAAAAAGGGAAAGAGCAATAAATAGGATGCCACTCAACATAAAAGAGAAAAGAAAGGCAACCTAAAATCACATATTTCATGAAACATAAAAAAGACAAAAAAGATTGGAGACACCTATACGGAGCTCACGCCCAGCCACCGACACTTTCGTTTTACCTTTTAAACCGAAGCAGCCCAAAAAAAAAAAAAGTCTTGCTTGCGTCTCTCTTTCTCAATTTTTTGGGTCAAATTCCTTACCAACCCACTCAGTATTTCTTCTGACCAGCAATCAATTGATTGAATATGAACACAATTAATCAAGTATGTATATGCGCGCGTATATTCCACATATATTATGAGTGAGCTTCTATGGGAGTTACTTTCGTGCATTGTGCTATTAAAGTAAAAAAATATGAGGAGTTACTCAGTTTAAAATTAATTTTAATTTCATATTTATGCAATCCAGACAGGAGGTGGTATAAAAGACATTTAGTACAATGCGTATACGTGATTATTATTGTGCTATAGTTAGAAAGCAGACGAAGCAAATGTCTATGGGGGGGAATAAATAACGAAAGTGAATGGAAACAAGTGCGTGAAAAAGAAGGCGGGGAGTGAGCTGGCAAAAGCTGGAAGGGAGGTGGGGTTCGTCCTTGGCTTTGCCACCCAACCCTGTCTTTTTCTCAACTCTTCAATCTCACCCATCTTCGCCCCTTCTTTCTTATTTTCTTCTCTCTCCGTCGCCATCACGTCACACTTCCCCTTCTATTCCCATCAGTCAATTGATTAAATTGCTTCTTTCTCTGCACTATTCATCTCTTAATTAACCCACCAAGCATCATATCATACTAATAATCTAACGCTTCCCGTAATCTTAATAGTATATGCTACGCATCCAGGTTTCAATTCCAGCCATAATTTCACAAGAGTTGTTGAGGAAAAAGGTACAAAATTTGCCTGAAAAGCCCCGTGCTTAAATCCGCGAGGGAGATATGAGTGTACGATGTGCAATGGAGTTGACCCTCTGAAGAAATGCGAGATGGGATTGCCATTGTTCCCGGGAGACAGCTCACAGCTCCAGAATCGCCCGTCCTGTTCGCTTATCATTCATCATTCCTGAATTACATTTGTACCCTTCCTCTGCCCCGCAAATTTACTCATCCCAACATTACAGCATGGTAAATATGAAATGTCATTTCACCGCTGGGTTCTTTTTGTTTCCGCTGCCATTGTTCGGCTTCTGTTGACCGTACCAAAACCCACCGACGCAGGGAGGCAAGGACCTTTACGATTACGTGCCAGATGGCATAACTACTATGACTCCATTTCTAATGGCCTCTCAGCGTCTCTTCCATCCCAATCAATCAACATCATCCTCAAAAAACACCACGCTTTCACATCCTCCTGGCCTTTAATTAATTACTCCACTCTTTTCCTTCCCATTCTATGCTTTCTTTCTTCTCTTCTTTCTTCTTCTCTCTTTTTTTTCCCCTTTATATCTTTTTTCACTTTGCTCCAACCCGTTGGCTAATCTCGTTTGGGATGTTTTAGATTAAAACCAAATTATAGTTTCAGAAGTGTTTTTACAGATTCAAAGTAAATATATGAAGGAGGTTATCTCGTTTTACAAAAAAATACTCTGAAATATAGGTTTTGATTTACCAAACACCCCTTTGAACCAACCGGGTGAGGGTCTCCTTTTTTTTAGGACCGGAAACGCGGTGAGGGTCAAACCCCACGTCTCATCCGGGATACATCACGTTTTGGTTACAGCCCGTACCATATTATGGTATACATATATATATAATATATTATATTTCTCAATTGATCTCTGCCGAAAGGTTTTCTTTTATAACTTTTTAATTGAATAGGCGACCCGGGAGAAAAAAAATAGTTGGATGCCGTATACCCAGTTAAAGTACATATCATACTATTTTAATTGGAAAAAATCTGGGTAATTATTGGATATCATGAGATCCAATCGGAGGCAAATCACAGGCCAGTTGTTGCCTAAGTGTAATAGACATCTTTCAAAATGACGAAAACGACCTTCTTGGTTCCGGAATATAGAACCAAACATAAAAGAAAAGTCGAATTGTATAGTGGCACCGACAGTGGGAAGCTCATGTGGACCGAGAGTCACAAGCATTATTCTATTCTATTAAAAAACCCAGAAATCTATGGTCCACATAAAGTAACACCACATTCATTATTGCTTCCGCCAACTATTAATTAATTAATTGATCACAAACATTTTTAGTCCAAATACCAGTATGTGACTCTCCTCTCTCCTCCGATTTTTATTTTCCTCCTCCCCGTCCTTCACTCCAGAGAAATGGAGAAATTTACTCTAAATTCACCCCAAAAAAAAGGAAGTATGCGGTAAATCATAACATTAATACTAATAATTATTATGGAGAGGTTGGCCTGCTCACAGCGTTTGGTTTAGCCTAATAATAACAGGTAAGATAACTCACTTCGCAACCAACAATAAGTGGACCCAATCTAATTCAACTGTTCTGAATCTAGCTACCCTACCAATCTCTCCTACTTTCAAATACCGCCCTCCTTGAAATTTACTCTAAATTCACCCCAAAAAAAATGAAGTATGCGGTAAATCATAACATTAATACTAATAATTATTATGGAGAGGTTGGCCTGCTCACAGCGTTTGGTTTAGCCTAATAATAACAGGTAAGATAACTCACTTCGCAACCAACAATAAGTGGACCCAATCTAATTCACTGTTCTGAATCTAGCTACCCTACTAATCTCTCCTACTTTCAAATACCGCCCTCCTTGAATTAAATTAACCCGAAAACGAACAATGCCGGTATTAAATTGTGTGATGCCAGATTTCTTCTACCATTTATAAATATAAATTCCCTGTTTATAGTTGACTAATTTGTTAGAAATTGGCTGACGCCTTGGAGCATCTACATCAACTCGCATATCAATTTTTTAGGGCAAATGTGTTTTATCTTTCGGTGCATTCAGCACGTTAATATTATTTTTAATGCATGCATCGTTTTAAAAATTATAGTATTTGATGTAACTAAAAAGTTAATGCTAAGTACTGGGTACACTTAGAGAAATAAGATGTATATATCTTTGCTCTTTCTTTTATGCTTTTCTTGACGTCTCAGTTTGGGTATTGCCTCACATAATCTTGTTCCGTACTCTACTCCAGTTTTACCACTTTTACGTTTTCGGCCAAAAAGTTTCATGTGTACATACTGATACTGATGATGTTGATGGCATCAAAAATAGTAACTAACAATGTAACATGCATCTGCTTTGAATTTTATATTTAAATATAAAATGGCAGATCGGTAATGGCCACTTCGCCTAAACTGGAGATAGTAATTCACGGAATGTGAGTATGTGATCATACGCTCAATTTCTTATTTCTTACTAAAAATTCTTATTTCATACTAAACCGTTACTAATCAAACAAGGGATTCATGACAAGCCCAAAAAAAAAAAGTTTCATCATTAGAGGGAGAAAAAAAAACCGAAAGGAAACAACTGGCGCAAAAAAAAAAAAAAATCAAAATGGGCGCGCAGAGTAGTAAAAGGAATAAATGGTATGATACCAACAAATGCTCAAACACATGGGCATTCAGTCAGCACAGCGTGGAGAGAGAAGAAAGGGAAAGAGTTAAACGAATAGTCTCCGCCGCCCGAGCAGATCCAATCCAACGCCTCTCACTCCTATCTTCCTTCTCCGTCGTATCTCTCCCATTCGCTGGAGTTTTAGTTTCTCAGCTAAACCCTGCAGGGGGGAGTGACAGACTTTCTTGATCTCCAAGCACTCCTAGAAGACGATACAAACGCTCCCGTCTGGATTGTGCCGGCGAAAATTCAATTTTTCCGGGCATAGAAAAATCACCGACAATTTTCTTCCTCCAAGATTTACCGCCCGAGCGGAGAGAGTTTCTTTAGTTCTTTTCACCAGCATCCGGTGGGTGCATAGCCCAGAGCCACCGCCATCTTCTGGCCCCACCACCTCAATTAAGAAATTCGCTGAAATATTTTATATTCTTGGCCCTCTCCCTTTTTTAATCCCTCTCATTATTTCTTGATCTCTCTGTCTTTGTCCCCTCCTTTCTTCGTATCTCCTTCTCTCTTACGCGTCTTCATCTCCACACACACTCTCAACCCTCATCTCTTTGTACTTACTGCCCCCCTTCCCCCTTCTTTTTCTCTCTCTCAATCTCGCCATAGATTAGGACCAGCCTGGTCACAGTGGAGACTTAGCTTGTCAAAGAATCAAAATAGCAGCACGCCCCCAGACT